AGCTGTTTTGCTAATTCCAGCACATTTATATTCTTAGGATATTGATTATTGTGCACTGTCCTTTTAAATAAATAAATTAAATTAAATTCCCCACACATAAATTTTGTTTAGACTTATGCCACAACTCAAATGAAGATCATGATTTATAATTGTATAAAGTCATACTTTTGAGACATTTTGCTTGTAAAGTTCTAGTTACTCAGGATCAGACTACCCACAAATGGAATATGTTTGGATAGTTGCCCCAGTCTTATGAGCCTGACTTGTGCACCAATGCTGCCAGTGTCCACTGGCACACAAGCTGGTTCTGAGTTCATTAGGTAGTATTTTGTCTGCTAGTACATTGTGACAGCTCTTATTAAAAAAACTGAACCGTTTGCATTATGTTTGTACACTATTGGTTGTAAAATGGCTGGGATTCAAAGGTTGAACAAATAGCAGGACATGATAAATCTAAAATGTTTGTTAATTTTAGCCAATAAAATGCATTGTTGTCTCACAACTTGTCAACTAATTACTGTGTTTTTTATAATACAAATATATTTTCTGTTATTTTTTCTGCCAAAAATTACCAAAAAAATGTAGAACTGAATATGTTAATCTGTTTTACCACTTCAACTAAAGTCTTTGCATATAAAAAGTTATGTAGCACACAACACCTAACTACCCTTCCCTGTTAGACTTTCAATTTATCAATTTTGTTACATACAAATGTTATGTTTCATTCTACTCCACAGGAGTTATAATAGGACAACTGCTGAGCTTGAATTGAATTGTTGTTAATTCTCGGCTCAGTTTTCATTCAACCTTTATTTAGACAGGTAAATTAATTTAAATTTATTTCTATAGCACAATTCACAACAAAAATATTTTCAGGCCACTGTACATTCACATTCACCTAAATTAAAAAATAACCATTAGTAAAAGTTATGCATCTTCGGAAGCCAGCAGATTGTGTTAAATCGTCACTTTGTTGCAATCCCCCTTTCTGAGCAGCACATGGGCGACAGTGGGAAGAAACAACCCCCTATAAACATGAAGAACTTTCCATCAGAACAAGGCTGAGGATGAACAGATATCTGCCATAGTTGTTTGTTTCCAAAAAATTGCTGAAAAAAATTAACATGAATCTAATCAGACTACTCTCAATGTTTCATCCCCTTAAATGTATTACAAATTTTAGCAGTTGACCTCACATACAGTCTCCAGTAAGATGAACAGGAAAAGATTGCAATATAGCATTGAACCTGTAAAGTAAATCTTTTTTTTTTTTTTTATCTGACAGGTCCAGTAGCTGTGATCAGTGGTGAGGAAGATTCTGCCAGCCCTCTTCATCATGTAAACCATGGAATTATTACCCCTTGTACTCTGGATGCGGGTCCTGATGCTGTTGTGATTGGGATGACTCGTATACCTGTGGTGGAGAATCCTCAGTACTTTAGACATGGACACAACTGCAACAAGCCGACCACCCGTGAGTCCTCTCAGTTGATGTGAAACAAGCTCAGAATGAAAGCAGGAATATTGTTTGAATGTCAAAATAATAAAACAAAATAAAAACTCAGGCAAGGATAGTTATACTGCTGGATTGTCCTGCTACAGCATATTTATTCATTCAATCTTTATTTATACAGGTTAGTCTCATTGAGCCTCGAGGACTCATTTACAAGACTCATAGTTTAAAGATCAATTCTGACCATGTTTTATGCAGTTTGGATGGGTCACAAATTCTTTAAAATGCAAACGGTTTCATGTGCATGATGGCCCTTATTGTGATTATTTTGGCTTTTTAAAATTAAGTATCTAACTTATTAACACTGGAACAATCATGCTTGTTTACTATAGAGAACACTTAAAAGAAGACACTTGTTCTCATGTATCAAGTGTAGAGTTTATTATTTTATATGACTGTTTTGCCATTGTGCATTTTACAGAGAAAGGTGTACCCAGTGATGCTTGAAACTGAGATTTCCTACATTAATACTATAAGGTGCTGTAGGAGCACAAATTATATCTGATATGGTAATGCAGCAAAGGCCAAACAGATAGAAAAAAACAGATGTGGTGTCTTCACATCCTCATTTTGACTGCTGCATATTGATCGTAATGAGCTGAGCAAATCTGAGCAAAGTGTTTTGGCCCTCAAGACAAAAAAAAAGTATAATTTAATATCCACTGCAGAGTCTGTGTTATTGTATGGTGTTAGCATCTGGTAGAATACTGCCAGACTCTACACGAACAACCCGTTTAGGCAAAATCAGCGTTTTGTAATCGTCTGCTGGTGTTTAGAAACTCACCCCCTACCTTTCCCTAAAATCCACTCACACTCCCTTGAGACTCATGTTCCAAGTTGGGAAAAGACAAGAGCACTTTAAGGCCTAATTACTCACAATTACATTGACTGCTCAGGAGAAACGGCAGAAAACAACTGTTCCAGCAGCTACAGGCAGCACTGCTGCCTGCTGCTTCCACTCCAAATGATGCCAGTCAAAAAAAAACAGAGTTTCAAAAAAAGGCTCTCTCCTTCTGTCCGAATGCCAGAGGCAGCTTTACTATACACTTTTCTGTCTAGCTTAGATCTGGCTGAGTCTCAAAATGGTTGCTGGTCGGGCTAACAGAAGTTGACTCTTGAGTTGGAGCCAATGAGAAGAGAGGAAATCCCATTTAGAGGTGATAAATAAATGACAGGGCTTATGTATTATGAATAGCATGAATTTTTAATATGCAGCCATGTACTGATTTATAACATCTCACATCTCAGACAAGAGATCTGATTACAAGCTAATGAATAAATGACAGTAGGCACAAATGAAACTTTCTCCATATTTTGTGCACCTGAAAATGGATATCAGACCATGCACATGCAATGTTGCAGCTTCAACATAGGTCTTACTAAAAGTTCTTTCTCTCTCAGTATGCAGCCCACCTTTTCTTTCTACGGATTTGATTCTACGTGCATGCATTAAAAAAAGGAAACGATGGGAAGTGAACCCTGAATTCATCACAAGGTCATAATGGCCACAGTTTCTGCTATTGGCAAGGAAAACAAAATAGATCTGAACGGCTCCTGCCTCTGCCGATCATACGCAGAATATGAATGCCTTCTTTACCCCCCAGGACATGCACACAGTGAAAGGAAATTTCTCTGCCTATCCGTGTGTAAATCTGCAGCATGTGTGTGGGTGTTTGCCAGTGAAAATGAATCTCTGCATGTACGTAGATGTGGGCGTGCTGTTGGTGCAGCTTGTAGGGATGAAGAATTTGCCGTTATGTCACCTTTCATTCCCTCTGCCTCCTATATGATTTGATGTGTCAGGAGTCTCTCGGGTGTCCCTTGGGTTCTCAATGTCCTGCTGGCCTTGCTCAGCAGGATTGTTCTGCAGCACTCACTCAAACGTAGTGTTATGTAGCTCTACCAGTCTCAACCATGAATCCATAATGTATTCATTCATTTTCTTGAAAGCTTCCTATCTGAGGGAACAACATGCTGCTAAAGCACACACACAGGAACACACAGAAACTGGGCTTACAGCAGGGACACAAGCTCACACTTAGACACACTACTTACCTGTGTCTATCAGGAATTCACTAATGCGACGGTCAGTCTTAATTTGCCTTCATGATTACACCTATTGGTCATTTTTTTCTGTATTTTGACTTTAGCTCCTGCAGTAACAACAAAGGGAGAACAGGTCTGTAGATGCTGCTGTGTTCCTGTTTAAACAGCTTCTTATAATGAACACATTAAACAAACCACACACTGTTGTGGCTGTTACAGACCAAGGCCTGAAATTGGTAATTCAAGAACTATTATAAAAATGATTACAGTTGCCCCGTTATTCAACTGGCACCTCTGCAAACACAGTTTAGAGGCCATCATCAGAGTTAGCGCTGCTGTTATTCTGATGCCAATTTAAAAGCTGTGTCTTCACACCATCGGTTGCACTTTGAATGGAACCACTGGCCTTGACTATTGCTGCAGTAAACAGACGAGTTGTGACCAATGAGGACATTTGTTGAGATTAGTCTTTTGTTTTTCACCAAGAAAGCTGGAAAAAAGGCCAATCCTAAAGAAAAGTTGCCGCATCAGGGAGATAAAAGCAGCGAAGGCAAAGGACAATTCTTTAGCCTAATGACAGATCCATATCTAGTCAGATTCTCTGTCTCCCAGCAAGTGCTTTTGTTTTATCACCCAGTTAGCTATTTTAATTACAGATTTGTCACATCCCGCTGGCCAAAATTAGACAATAGCTTTTGATGTTTGACTGTAGCACATAGCCTTCCATTATGTCCATGTTATTATGGACATTACTCCTGGGCATGTCTTGGACAAACTTCTCTTCACTGTCCACCCTGCTTTTGCTGTAATAAAGACAGAACGATGCTTGCGGTGGTGTTTTTGAAAATTGAATTGTTTCCAGTAGAGGCAAAGAGTGACTATCATGGCTCCTTGACAGCTCAGTCAATGAATGTAAATGAAAACCTTATGATTTAAAGTCAGTATTAAGCCAGTGATTTAATAAATTATAATGTGATTAAGAAGAAACAGCCCCGCAGTGGAGCTAACTGATTTGAAACAACCTACTTTAGTTTGTGACCTAAAAGTCCAAACGTTCTTCGAAGTTTAGCTCACCACACAAAAAAAAATAATCTAAATGTAAATGTCCATAATCATTGGCCTAATACGTCTTGAATAAATATAGATTGCCTACCACCTTTTATTGCAAACTATTGAACTAAGAATATTTTATGTTGAGGAATGAAGGAGTTAAAAGCATTTTGGTCTAAGCTTGATTAAGAAAATATGTGCATTCTCATATTACTTCAAAATTGCCATCTTTACGGATGATGTGGCGCTGGTAATGGTGACGGGACATGAGTAGAGCTCGTGCTTCTATGTACGGTATGTCTTGTGCGAATACATTTTGTTTCTGTTTTTAAAAAAAAATCATTTTCTGTGTATGGTAGAAAGCAATAAGTATGACTTCTTGTGTGGCATATGTTTTTGGTAATTTTGACACTTTTTAGTCACATTTTTTAACGGACTCTGTGAGTACCACTATGGTAGAGTTCCTTCTTTTTCTGCGGGACTCCAGTGCAGGTGTTGTGGAACCTGCTGCAGTTTTCCCAGCGAACATTTTCTGGACGGGGACCTCTGCTAAAGATTGGTGCTGAGAGCACAAGTCACCAGGCGTAACAAAACGGGGAAAGCGTGATGGTGTTGACCAAAGGCTGAAGTAGTGGGATCTCTGTCATATGCCGCTTCCAACTATTATGTTGGCAAATGTCCAATCACTCCACAGCAAAATTGATGAACTTCAGGCAAATGTAAAGTATTTGGAGGAGTACACACATGCCTATATTTTGTCACTGACCAAAACCTGGCTCATAGATCATGACTTGCAAATGGATTTGGAGATTGAGGGCTTTGGTGAGCCCACTTCTTTGGACAGAAACTCCAGAATGACCGGTAAATCACTCGGTGGAGAACTGTACCTTTACGTGAATAAAATGTGCTGTGGAGCTATTGTCATCAGGGAGTCGATGTGCACTCCAGATATTGACCTTTTCTCTGTGTCTCTTTGTCCATTTTATCTGCTGTTCTCGCAGCTCTTCATCACATTTGTTTACATTCACCCTAAGGCTAATACGGACCTAGCTACTCAAGCTTTGCTGAACACCGTGCAGCAGTTAAAGAAGATCTCCCTGGATATTAGCTAGAGTGAACTATAAGGAGAGGGTGGAGAATATGTTCAGGCCCAATGACTCCCAGCTGGCATGGGAGGGGGTTAAGTCCATGATGGGGATGCCAACTAAGAAATCTTACACTTAACTCCTCGTCAGCTTTGGAATTGTCAAATTGTTTTAATTTATTTTACAATTGTTTTAGCACTACTGATTTTATTGTTAAGGTTTTAAAAATGTGCCGTTGGGTGCCACAGTGCAAAATGACAATGGAAGTGTGTTTAACATTTTTCAAAGGACCAAAGAAAGTAAAAGTCCAGGTCCTTGCAGCATAGGAGGTCATATTCTTTAAAAATGTGCCCTGCGACTAGCAGACTTTTTTTTTCATGTCTCTCCAAACTTATAGGGTCCCCCAGCTTGCAGACTTTATTATTGTTCCAATCCCAAAAACCAAGACTGCTCAGCCACTAAACAACTTCAGGTCTGTTGCCCTGACTTCATTAGTAATGAAGTCATTTGGAAAAACTTGTTCGGGAGATCCTCCTGTCAAAAGCTGAAGAACATTTGGACCCACTTCTGTTTGCTTATCGGACATGTAGACGGGTAGCGTATGCAACAGGCACACTTTTAAATATTATTTTAAGACACTTAGAAGGTAAAAAAAACATTTCTAAGATTGATTTTTATTGATTTTTCATCTGCTTTTAATTGTATTCCAACCCACATTTTAGTAAATAAATTACAATGATGTTATGGTCTTGATTATGGCCTCATATGTTGGCTTGTGGA